ACCTACCTCCTTGGACTCAAAGCAAAATTTGAATCGCAATACATGACAGGGTTTATTGTAATAAAAGATAACTTTTGATCTTATAACTATGTATGCCATAAATTTCAGGTTTGTTTCTTGGCGAAGTTATTCAAAATTAATTAAAAAGGTTCGCTACTAAGTTTTGCTGAAAATAAAACCTTGCGAGCCACCAGCGATATAGTTGTAACAAGTCAAATCAAGTCAATTCTCAAATCACCCAGGAAAATAAATGTGACAAAGTAACAGTTCATGTTGTTGCTATAGAGTCTTGATCCACAGGCGAATTACTGTCACCTTTCCCTCTCTAACACGTAACTACACAATCATAACACTACCCATTATTTGTAGCTCTATGCACTTTACACATAACATTAGCCCTGCTTTCTAGAGAAATGTTCTCAGTATAGTACACACTGTACTAAATATAGTCCAGATTCGGTGAGGTCAACCAGGGTAAATTATCTTCAAATTCCCAAGTGTTGCACATCTAGTTGCAATCCAATGCAGCAATTGTGATCACAATGTTCTACTGGATTTTCTGAGGTACATGTATTTACATTTTGGTTGATTCAAATTTCGAAAAATGTATAGCCACAGTGTATATTTTACATGCTTGATCCTTCAAGTTTCAATACTGTTTTTACCTTCCATTATTGGTGTATTGAAATACGGTATATATCAGTATAATTATTTTTTTCTTCTTTACAACAATGTAGTTTTTAATCTAAAGCAGGATACTATACCATACATTGGTTTTTGTTTTTTCACTTTTTTCCCTCTTCTTATTTTCCAGTGAATCCTGTCGGCAATTCTCACAGATTTGTATCCTTGATATAATAATATACATGTACCAGTAATTTATTATTCTTGTGTGTATAAAATAGCATTATTGCAATAGTTGCCATAGGTTTCACTGAATGTATGATAGAAACATGCACTATGTTTGATCTTTGAATCAATAATGTAATTGTTGTAGGTCAAATCGAATAATTCCGGTCTAGATTGAACATTCGATGTTTGCATAGAATAGTCATGTGTTCAGTAGATTGATATACTGTGGAATACTTTATTTTCGCTGGAATTAATTTTCGCTGAAAAGGCTTTTTGGGCATTTTGTATGGAATTTATTTTCACTGATTTTTGATGAGTTTAATGTGAAATATAGGAAAAAAAGTATATTTGCTTGATTTTATTTTCACGGAATCATCCTTTGAGCGAAAATAGCGAAAATAAATTCCAAGCGAAAATAAAGTATTCTACAGTATACTGTGTCATTTTGAATAACTCAAGGTAAATAATTTTAATAATGTCCAAAATTCCAAGCACTCCAAAATGTAACCACAAAATCACTATACAGCCTCTAACTACCCTCAAAGTACTACCGTAGTCGTCGTGCAGTGAATGTACACATTTTGTGTGAATTAACAATCTATCTACATGTGTTGTTTATGTTGATAGGGGTCCCGTATCAAACAGAATGGAGTACTTTAACCATTTATATCTGCACTTTGCTTCAGAAGATTGAAACAGAAATAGCCAAATGTTTTGAGTAAAAACAGAAAATTGACTCAAGTTTTGTCTGTTGGCTCAAAAATTTGGGTTCATTTCCAGAAATATTGAAGAAAATAAGGAAAAAGTGCAAACAAAATTGGGCGAGAAAGTGTGCTGGTGAAAAGATTATCTCTTATTTCTTTCACACAACTCAATAATTCCAAAATATAATACTGTGAAATACTTTATTTGAGCTGGATTTAATTTTCGCTGAAAGGACTTTTTTGGTGATTTGTATGGAATTTATTTTCACTGATTTTTTTGAATGTAAAATATAGGAAAAAAAGTATACTCGCTGGATTTTATTTTCACTGAATCATTCCTTCAGTGAAAATAGCGAAAATTAATTCCAAGAGAGAATAAAGTATTCCATAGTAATCACAAATGCATGACTTAACATAATCTTAAATTTAATAGCTAAAATGCCGACAATCTCAAAGTTCAGAATATAGTTTTTTTAATTAGAAAAATTACTGGGTCGTTAAATTAGCTAAAATTGCATGTTAGCTAAAAGACTTGTTGTACAGAGCATCGTTTGGGGCCCTAATCAAGGACATGTTATTACAGTGGATCCTTTTGAGGCTTTGATTTGCATAATAATAAAATGTATCATTGTCACATTACCTGGTAATCAAAATTGTATGTACTTGAAATGTATTTAGTTTTGTTGCTTAACTATGTAATGTCTAGACCCTGTATTTTGTGTGCCTGCTACATTCTTTATTGGTACTAATGGTGTGCCCCTAGAGGTAGTCGGAGGACATCTGTCGTCACAGGAATTTACAGTGAAAATTAATAAGGTTATTGAGGTAAATGTGGATTGAGTTTGGTCAAGGATTTATAAAGTGAGGGTATACAACTTTGATGTCTACATCATATGAATATCTTGTGAGATCTCCTAGTCTTTTATTTATGTCTCAATCAAATG